GGAGCTCCCCTTTGAGTTGACGTGTGACGCCTCTGACATTGCACTTGGTGTTGTATTATCTCAGAGAGTTGGTAAATTTCTGCATGTTATTGCTTATGCTTCTAGAACTCTTGACGTAGCTCAGATAAATTATACCACCACTAAGAAGGAGCTGTTGGCTATTGTATTTGCATTAGATAAATTTCATTCTTATCTGCTTGGCTCCAAAATAACTGTCTTTACAGATCATGCTGCACTGAAATTCCTATTGGAGAAGCCGGATGTGAAACCTAGATTGATTATATGGATGTTTCTTCTGCAAGAGTTTGATATTGAGATAAAAGACAGGAGTGGTGTGTTGAATCAGGTTGCTGATCACTTGAGTCGTATCGAAGGGACTGTTGACCCTTTACCTATTTGTGATAGTTTTCCTGATGATTATTTATTTGCTCTGAATTCTATAGATTATGTACCCTGATTTGCTGATATTGTGAATTATTTGGTTACTTCTGTTGTACCTCCTGATGCATCTAGATCCCAGGTTGATAAACTGAAAAGTAATGCTAAATATTATGTTTTAGATTATCCATATCTGTGGAAGTTTTGTAATGACCAGGTTATTCGTCGATGTGTTCCTAACCATGAATTTCAGGACATTCTGCATTTTTGTCATGGCACATCTGTAGGAGGCCATTTTGGATCACAAAGGACAGCTAGGAGAGTATTGGACAACAGATTCTATTGGCTCACCATATTCAGAGATGCAGGCAGATTTTTTGAGAACTGTGAAATATGTCAGAAGACAGGAGGGACTATCACTAGGAGACATGAGATGGCTCAGTAGCTCATTATTTTCTGTGAAGTTTTTGATGTTTAGGGCATCGATTTTATGGGTCCTTTTTCTGTTTCTGCTGGATATTGCTTGTTGTTAATTACGTGTCCAAATGGGTGGAAGCAAAGGCCACCAGAACTAATGATTCTAAAGTTGTGTCAGATTTTCTCTGTACTCATATATTTTGCAGGTTCGGTGTGCCTAAGGCTGTCATCAGTGACCAGGGAAGTCACTTTTGTAACATGACCATTGCAGCATTGTTCCAGAAGTATGGAGTTACATACAGGGTTGCTACACCATATTATCCCCAAACTAATGGGCAAGCTGAGATATTCAACAGGGAAGTTAAGCACCTGTTGCAGAAGTTAGTGCACCCTAACAGGAAGGACTGGAATAAGTTTCTGGATGATGCTCTCTGGGCCCAGCGGACAGCTTATCAGACACCATTAGGCATGTCTCTATTTCGAGTGGTGTTTGGTAAAGCACGCCACCTTCCAGTGAAAATTGAGCATCGATCATATTGGGCTGTGAAGAATTGTAACTTAACACTTGAGCAGGCTGGAATTGAAAGGAAGCTTCAACTTCAGGAGCTTGATGAAATACGCCTACAAGCCTATGAGAATTCTAGATTGTATAAAGAGAAAGTTAGGAGATTTCATGATACACATATTCTGAGGAAAGTGTTCTCTATAGGCCAGAAAGTGTTATTGTTCAACTCTCGGTTGAAATTGATTGCAGGTAATCTTCGATCTCGATGTGATAGACCTTTTGTGATTACTCATGTTTTTTCCCATGGTGCAGTTGAGATTCAGGATGAAGCTACCGGCAGGACTTTTAAAGTCAATGGTCATCAGCTGAAACTATTCCAGGAGAGCAAACCAGTGGAGTCAGCTCAGAACATAGTTGATTTATCCTTAGTGGAGCCTACTTTGATGGAGGATGTGTCTACATAGGCACTTGGAGTTTGGAGCATTGTTTTCTTTGACTTTTGTTTCTTTTCCTTATATTTCCTTTACTTTTTCATGTATAGTTTGCACTTTATTCTTGGATTGCTTGCTGTTTTATTTTTTCTATTTCTTTTTTCCACATTGCGGACAATGTTTGATTTAAGTGTGGGGGAGGGAGTATTCCTTAGTATATTTTTCATTGGATTCCCTTGCTTGTATATTTCATTTATGTGAGCAACTTTTCATTTGCCATTTTTAGTTGGAAGTTTCATAACTTGATAGATGTGTTTCTTGCATTTTGAGTTAGCTAGTTTTTCATGATGATTAGGTTGTGGATCATTGATTGGTAAAATGTATTCCTTAGTGAGATTTGAGCTTATCTTCTTTCTTGTGTGATTCACTCATGTTGGTAAGTATTCTAGAACTTGATTTGACTCTTTTTTATGTTATTTGTTCACATGCACTTATGATATGATTTAGGCCTTCTTTTGATTTTAGCCACTTGGCCAAATTGACTTACCTTGCATGTATTCCATTTGTTTTTCCCCTTTGAGCCTTATTGACCTCTTTCTTGATGATTTTGCAGCTCATTCCAAGCCATGTAACTTGAAAAACCATGATGCACCTAACCTTTGCTAATAGATGAGCTTTGGAATTGTATTGGGAATTGGTTAAAAACAAGTGTGGGGGTGTTTTGTACATATTGCTTTATTCATAAAATTTTGAGAAGATTTTGATGCTTTATAAGTTGATTGGAAAAGTGGATTGTATAGAAATAGTGCAGTAACTGCGAAAAAAGAAAAAAAGGAAAAAAAAAACAAAAAAAAGGTCCTATTTTTCTTTTACATTTGTTCTTGTTTGTTGCTGTTTAAATAGTTGTGATGTGTGTTGCTATTTTTCTTTTACTTGTTTTTAATCCATTCCCTATTGCTCTTCTTTTCTCTTTGGTTTTTAGCTTTGTACACTTTCTTTTATCTTACTTTTACCTTAGCCACATTACAAGCTTAATAAAAGTCCTATTGATCTTTAGTGCATGTGTTTTAAATGGTAGAAATTAGAGGCTCGTCAAGCCATGGTTATGCTTACCTTCATGATGTGCTTTGAGTGAAATTTCTTGCCTAGACACTTGAGAGAATGAGTGATACATATCCTTGTGAGAATTTTACCAATTGTGATCCATAATTTAATTAGATTGAGACTTTTATTTACTTTTAATGTTTGGAGCACATTCTTGATTGTTTTGATTCTTACATACTTTTATTGCTGGACTTATTTTTTCTTGCTCACATTACTTACACTTTGGGATCTATTAAAAGTTTTGCTTTGTGTTCATTTCTTTTCCTTTTCTTTTCTTTTGTTTGGGAGTGCAAAAGCTTAAGTGTTGGGGTATTTGATGACTCATATTTTGCTACCATATTTATAGTCTTATTGCATCCTTTACATATCCTTTCATTCCCTTATTTCTTCCATTTAGTGTGCTTTTGCATTTTGCACATTAATTAGGAATTTCTTGTAAATACTCATATTTTGCTATTCTGACATTTGTTCACTAATTTGGCCATAACTTTTTCTGTAAATATCTTTTTTGGATGATTCTTTTTGCATTGGATTCCTTACTTACGGGGGTTCAATTTGGACATATGGATTGTGCTGTTTAGAGTTTGGAGCTATTTTCTACGAATTTTAGAAGTTTAGACTTTTAATTTGACTTTTGTTTTGATTTTGTATTGCTTTTATTTTTGCGGTTTTGTTGTATTTATTTTCGGCCTAGCTCTAGCCCATTTACTTTTATTCTTTTAGGACTAGTATTTATAGAGGTCACGGGTTGATTTGGAAGCAACTTTAATTCATTTTTTTAGTTTTTCAGTTTTTGTAAACTTTCCCGCTTCTAATAAACCTCTCGTTTTTTTTACCCAATCTTCTTCTCTTGCACTTTTTACAATTCGAGCTCATCTTCCGCTACATTTATAATTGAAAGGCGTTTAAGATTCTGCAATCTCAAGTTATTTTCTTCCACGTTTCTTCCTCAATTACGTTGTCAAAGTCTAGATCGCATTTGTTCAAGGCGTTTATGATTGCTCCGAGTTTGTTTTCTAATCTTGCGCTTTGCGATTGTATAGGAAGTATAATTCGATTGAATTGTGCCTCTCTTTATTGACCGTATAACAAGCAATTGATTAATTGATTTGTTGTGTAAAAGAGATTTAAGCAAATTCGGTTTAGTCACTTTATGTTTGTGTTTGTGTGTTCTGAATCTCGATTTTCATTCACAATTTTAGCTTGATTGATTACTTGCACTATAATTTATGTTTCATTCTCTGCAATTTAATTCTTCGTGTTTAATTACAAAACTTTTCCAAACATACAACCTTTTTTGCATAATTGATATTAAAACAATATGCATTTGCATCCTTGTAAGAGATGACCTAGATTGCTCCCTAAATTACATATTTTAATGAGAAATCTAAGTAACTTTTGATGCAAGTGCGATATGGATATTATATATACATTTAGTGCATTATGTTATGTAAATCAACGAGGCATTGTGATTTTGTGAACAGCAAAAAGGCCTTCAATTCCCCATTTTCTAATTCTCACACTCTCTGCCCAACCTATACGAATCGTTCCGCTACCCAACTTCACAGGCCCAACACTAGCACGCCTCAGCATTAAATAGTTTGTTAACCAAAAAGAAAAAGTCATCGTTCTCTTTATTGACCAAAATTATGTAGTCGTTTTCCACCTTGCTAGAAAAAGGAAGGTTATCATTTCCAACTGAAAATAAAATGACATTTTAATGTTTTTTTTTTCCAATCCAGTGCAAAAAAACAAAAAAGTCGTCATTCCCATCGTGGGTTAAAAAAAGGACCAAATCATATTCTAATCCTAACTCCTAATACTATAAATATCTATTAATTTAATCCTTAGTTTTATAACATATTTACACTACTTTGAATTTATAGTTACACGACTTTTTTAGTGTAAAATAACAATAAAAATAAAGTAAAAAAATCACTTTTTTGCAAAGTTAAAGAATAAAAAAAATAAAATTAGAGATTAAAATAATCTATATTATATATACTTACAAGTTACTTGTGAAAAAGAATAAGCAATGATTCGTAAGATGGAAGTGACATTGGTCCCACCAACCAATCCACGCGTAAGAAGGGGAAGAAGTCTCACACCAAAATATCTAACCCCCAAAACCACACGTATATATTATGATGAAATATCTACACTTCAGGAAAGTTCCAGCATTTGGAATTCGCTTGTTCCGTGGTCACCACCACCACAATCCTCTCTCTCTCAGATATTTTCTGCCTCGTAAAACCTTCTGGAGCTTTCATTTCCCTTACCGCCTCTTAACTCTTTTACTCCTAATAAATACCCACTTCAGCTTCTAAATATTCCCTCGCAGTGGGTCCAATTGTATGAGTTTGTGACTCAAGAACAACGCTAAAAGCCATTCCATTTTCATGACCAAGTCCATTTGATGGTGCCAATGAAGCCTTATACGCAAGGGTCGTTCTCGTCGTCTTACTACAGCGTTCTTGGCGTTAGTTCGGATTCTTCTATAGAAGACATAAGGCGTGCTTATAGGAAGCTTGCTAAGGTAATGGCTTGGCCTTCTATGTTATGTTTGTATAGGTGCAAATGTCGTTTTGAGTTAGCGTGTTTTGTTTTTCGGGTTTTGAATGTGAGATGCTGATGTTAGCGTTTTGTTGAATTCGATGCAGCAATGGCATCCCGATAAGTGGGCAAAGACTCCTTCTTTGCTTGGTGAAGCCAAGCACAAGTTCCAGCAAATTCAAGAAGCTTATTCAGGTATGCTTCTTTGAGTTCTTGATCTGTGTGTTTGAAAATGAGTTTTTTCCCTTTTGCTTAGAATGGTGTTATTGAGCTCTGGTTGTTTGCGTTTTGTTGGAGCAGTGTTGTCTGATCATAAGAAAAGAACCATGTACGATGCGGGCTTGTATGATCCTCAAGAGGAAGAAGACGAGGTGAGTGCTTTAGAGTTTTATGTTTGTTTTTATTTTATTTAGATTCAGTTTTGCTTTGTATTTTTTTTCCTTTGTTGGGTTATGGTCTTAAAAGGACTTGGGTGTGTTCTCTGCTTTCAGGGCTTTTCTGATTTTCTGGAAGAAATGCTTTCCCTTATGGCTCAAGTGAGGAGAGAGGTAATGGTTCTTAGCAAAATGTCTATAACAATCCTGTAGAATAGAATGATCTTCTTGGTAGTTGAAGGAATATTTATTCGGGGGAGAGGGGTTTGAATTGATAAAAAATTAAAGATGAATAATATGAATTAGAATGAAAGAAAAAATCATGTTAAAGTTTAATTGTCTGAATATGATGAAATAGAATGTTTTAAAAATAAATATGATGACTCAAATGGTGAAAGGGTTTGGTGAATAGAATAAACACTAATCATTTGTCAATAATATTGCATCTATTGCAGAAAAAGCATTACGGCTTAGAAGAGTTGCAAGCCATGTTCATGGAAATGGCTCAAGGATTCAAATCTCCTTCAATGTACTGTGGGGTACCCTCAATGATGGATGAATCACGGTGCCTAAAGAGGATGCGATTTGACACAACCATGATGGAGAATAAGGGGTCACATTTTCAAGTACCTGGTCTTAACGGGTATGAAACGAGGGGTTATTGCAATTAACAGGTGTGTTCCTGCTGTTTTTGCAAGAGGGGAATTTCGAAAGAAATTTAAGGATAGTAGAATGAATTTTGGTAGAAATTTTCAATATTTGTATTCTGTACATATTCCTTCTATGGGTTTGATGTTAGTATTAGATAACAGCGCTTTCAAATTTCCAAGACGAGGAAGAGGAGGAGAACGTGTAATGATTTTGTAATATGGAAATTATGCTCATTTGAGCAAGCATTAAAGGAATTTTACCTGCTCTTCACCAAATTTACTGTTGTCATACCCTGTGATTGAAGGGCTTTCTGGCCTTTTTTCAAAACTATTTATCTAAATAATATATTTTAGAGTAATTTAAAAGGGTAAGTTAATGTTCTGAATAAAAGTAAAGAAGGTTGTCAGGTGTGGCGTTTTTTTTTTTATTTAATGTAATTTTTGTAGTAAAGAGGAAGAGGAAAAGAAAAGAAAAGATTTAATTAGAAGTCTAAAAATTGTATTAGGAAAATCATTTAGGTTTGGAAATGATACTCGTCCAGAAGGAATTGCAGGATGTAATTTACTCTAGAAGCGAAAATATTAAATTTTTTATTTTAATCAAATAATTAGTTTTTAATGTTTTAGAAAAACTAATTTAGTTCTTAACTTTATTAATTATTACTTAAATTTGATTATAGATTTTAATATTTCATAAGCCAGTTTGATTTCAAAATTTAAGAATTAAATTGATTAATTTAATAAAATTAAGAATTAGTAAAAATTAAAACCGATTGGAACTTTTTATGAATTTAGTTGGGAGTTATTGAAGTTGAAACTTATTATTAGATATTATATTAAATGAAATGTTAATTTATAAATTAAAATTATCTTTTACTCTTCACTTTACAATATTTTAAGTGCACATTATATTGAGGGTATATGTAATGTTAGGCAACATTTATCAAAAGTATACTATTTTAAACAGTGACATTAAAAAATTTTGTTTCTGTGTCTCCTTCATTTGTTTATATATACCTATACACATTTTGCAGAATTTTCATATAAGGATTAAGTGTTTTATGCATATGATATAATTATAAATTTGGAGTAGCATAAATTAATATGTTCAAGTTTAATTTTGATTCATTATTAATTTAAAAATTTTATATTATTAATTATTATAATATATAATAAATATGATTTTTAAATTAATTATTATAATGGTTAAGTATCCTTGCTCATATAATATGGCATTATGGCAATGTAAAACGTTTTTATACTTTCAAATATTTTAATTAAATTTATAAATATTTTAATGGTTTGTTTTTATAATTTTCAATATTATAGACAGTTTTATTACTAACTCTGAGAGTTACACGATAAAATAAAAATAATTTTAGATGAAGTTTCAAAATATATAATAAGATGTTTAGAATTTTACATCAGCTATCTTAAGATGAATAATAAAATATTTAAAATTAGATATTTATACTACTAAAGGCTATTTTCTGTAATTTATATATAATTTTATAACTAATAAATTTTTTATATTCAAATGAATTAAATATATAATATGTTTCATCTTTAAATAAAGAATGGAATAATTTTCAAAATTAAATGTGAAGGTAGACAAAGAAAACAAAAAGTATAGTTTGTGTTAAAAACTATTTGACATAATATAAGGCTATTTTTGATTAAGCATAATTTTGAAAATATTATTATTTATTATTTTTCATTAATTATTTTGAAAAAAATAGATTTCAATAACTTTTACAAAAAAAAAAATATTAAAGAGAAGAGCTATAAATTTGCTTTTCCCACCCCTTTTTTTTATATTTGCGCCTCCTTATTTTTTTTTGTGTTACTTATGGAAAGATAATTTACTACATTCTGAAAATATCATTTTAGAAAAGTAATTTCTACATTACTTTTTATAAAATTTAATTTAAAAAAAAAATTGAGAATGGAAAAGAAAGGCCCAAAAAACAATTATCCTTGGATGGGTGTGTTTGGGTTGTAGCCCAACCTTTTATCCTCTTCAGTTGGGGGAAAAAGGCCACAATTTTCTTCTTCAAGTTTTCTGCTTACACTTTTGCAGTGAATGGGTTCTATCCCCAAAGCGAGATCGTTGCCCAGGGCTATTACGCTTACACGGTCCACATACACATGCTGTTGCCATTTTTATTTTTTATTTTTATCTCGATATATTATTGTTTTCTGTTTTTAAAAATTTAAAACAAAAAAGAAACAAGTTCTTAATCTTTTATTTATTTATGAATTATGGATATAATCTTTCAGAAAAAAATTAGAGTATACAGATCAATAATTTAGAATCTGATATAAACTGTCATCATTTTTAAAAGATTAATTACATTAATTATCTGATTTAATATTGCAATTAAAAATTATCTATGACCAGGTTAAACTTTTGGAAAAATCTTTAAAGAAAAAACAAGCTAGTATAAAAAATGATTTTTTTATAAGTAAAAAATAATTTATCTCTTCAAATTTTAGAGAAGTTAAATGAGACATGTTAACATACAAATAGAAAAATATAAGTTATTTTTAATCTGTGATAAAAATTTTATTTAGTTATTTTACTGATACTTTTTTGTGTAAAAGAAAAATCATTTTTCATACTTTTTTTTTCTATTGGGAAGAACTTTTATAAAAGTTTGTTCAAGCTGAGTCAATAACATGGGTCCTATGATATAAAATTAAAAATAAGTTTTTCTTCATTAATTTACAAAATTGCTAATTTTAAAATAAAATTATTTCTAGGTTCAGTTCATTATTCTTATTCTACTTAGTTTTTGTGCTTTGACCCGTACTCGTGAGAAATTTTTTGAGTGGTCGAAACTATGTGATTTTGACTACTCACAATTAGACGTGTGTCAATTTTTTTTTGAAAAAATATATAATGTCACATTTTCATTGACTTAGACTATAGTGGAAGCACTCTCCATAATTTCTCTGTAGTCACGGTTCTGTTGTAACTCTTAATTCTATGCTCATGTTGCTTAAAAATTTCCTAAAAGGTTGAAGAAGATGCACAAGAAATGGTTCAACTGGAGTAGGTGCGTCTTTGAATTCATATTTAAATAATTATGAACCTATCTTTATTTTGTTGTTAATTATATTTTTTACGTTAAATTCACGTTTATTATTTTTAAACATACATGTACTAAATCTGACATCACATGAAAAAAATGACTAGAGTTAGGGTATCCTAAGAGGAAAGATACAAGAATTGAAATATAATTTTCTATATGGTATCAAAAATTAAACTCCTTTACAACGAGAGGCATATTTTAGAAGATGCAACTAAATAAATCACAGAGGAAAAATGTTTTTACATATAGTAAATATGATTTTTTTAATATATAAATAATTAATGGTTTTTAATAACTTTACATATAGTTATACTTTCATGCTATCATAAATTTCAACATATTGTAAATGATAATGAAGGGAAGGGGTTTTAGGAACAAGCCTCACAAAAATAGGGAATGTGCTGTCCAACTTGCATTCGAAGTGTTGTGGCTACTAAAATTTGTATAATCACACACCTGTCCTGGACCCTGAAGAAAAGCAATAAGGGATTAAACAAGTAGTGATATGTACAAGATCTCTCTCGAAGATATGAGTTTAGAAATGCAATAATTAGTGAGTATAGTGTGAGGTTGATGACTCAAAAACAAAGCTACAATAGTCCAAGATGATGACTCAAAATTAAAGCTACAATAGTCCAAGAGGATGACTCAAAATTAAACCCACCATGGTCCAAAATGATGACCAACTCATCCCTTTGATGAGAGGGGATAAGAACTACACAAAGCCATCTCAAAGCGTGTTTCTTCAATATTATAATTATCAACTGTCATACGCGTCAATTCTTTAGAATACAATCCAATACACGTGTGAATGTGTTTGTGACATGCTAACAACTCATCCCAGTCATTATCTCCCTTTTTCTTTTTCTCCTTATTTATATACTGTATTAGTGCCAACTATGACACATAGTAGACCTTCATTTCAAATACCTACATAAGAAAATTAGTTTGAAAATTTTGATTTGGCAAAATACAGAAGCATACATGTGCCAACATGCATAAGGTTTCATCATGTGGAAACTAAACGCTCACAAATTATAACATCTATACAAAATTAAATAAAAAAAGTTGTTTTCCCCAAGTAGCGCACCGACTTTCCCCTCTTTGCAAGATATGATTCCCTCACACATACGCCTAACCACTGGTGCGAAGACAATGTTACTGCTGCATTTTGCTCTAAAACGTTGCTGTCTGCTTTAAGTTGCATTAATTTCAACAAAAGCGACACTGGGAATTTGATTACAACGTGGACCTTTCGTGCGTAGATGGCCTTGATTTGACCTCAAAAGCATTGCAACGAGCTCGAAGACCAAACTCAAATTGTGCCAAAACTTAGCGATCCCAAGAGCCCTACATCAATGATCAATATAATAATGTACAATAAATAAAATTTAGCAACCCTAAAATTGGGAACATAACAAAATTAAAACTGAAGTAGCCTAGATGAATGATAATTTGAGGACATGTAGATGTATTATGTATATACACAGTGGAGCCCACAGTATGCACAAGCCACATGCTAACGAGGTTCCCTTATTTCACAAGTAACTTAGACCCCAAAGTCTCGTATCCTCACTCGAATTTCCTCTTAAAAACTAGCCACCAAAAGGTATTTTACCAATTTATTACTTATTTTTTTTATAGTTCCATGCACCTAACGTAGGAAACCCTTCATTTCTCCGAATCCATTAATCTCATTCTCACACACAAACCAGAATTCACCCACACAAGCTATATCTGAACCAAGCACCATGATGTTGATCAAAGGGCATCAAATTAAGGTTCCAACAATGTTCCTGAAATTGGTCCTTTTGCTTATCTATGTCACGGCTTCAGTCAACGGTGACGAGACTCCGGTAACGGCCACAAACGGTACTGATGAAAAGTGCACACCGTGTGGTACCAGCTATCCGCCGCCGCCACCACCGGCGATTCCACCGCCGTCACCACCACCGCCATCTCCGAAGAAACCACCTTCACAATATTGCCCTCCACCACCCCCATCGTCGTTCATTTACATAACGGGGCCTCCGGGGAACTTGTATCCCGTCGATGAGAATTTCAGTGCTGCCATCAACCACCGCCACCACCGTAACTTCGCCACCTTCTTGTTGCCACTTTTGGTTGGTTTGGTGAGTACTCTTGCTTTTTGGTGATTAGCTTGTGAAGAAGATCATTCTAAAGACAATGGAAGAATTTTACGGTTTATGGATATAATAGTTAAGGAATATCAAGATTTTACTAAGGTAAGACACAGGAGAATTTTGTACTCAATTATTAGTGTTTGACATGTATGTTCTGTTCAGATGTGATCACAATTTGTTCAATAATAACAATCTCTCTTCTGTAATTTTCTCCCAAATTTGCCCGTAATTTTTTTATGATTTTTCTAATACAGGGCACTTAATAAAAACTTATTTACAGAGAATTTAATTAAAAATCACAATATATTATATAGTTCAATGTATTAATAATGTCAACTACTATAATTTTTAATATATTCTATACATATTAAAAAAATCTATCTTCCGTGCAATTTTATCAAAATGTGAAAAATAAGGAAGATTGTGTGGTAGCTGCAATTGCAGTATGTGACACAGATGATGGTCTATTTTTCCCCTTTTGTTGTAATTTTAATTTTCCTTTAATTTCTTAAATATGGAAAATGTGATGAATGGTTATTGGTAGATCAAAGCAAGAATAATAATGAGTGATGGCTGCAATCAAATTATACTTTCAGCATTATAAAATAAATAATGTTGAATTGTTGCTACCTGTATCATTTAATTATCATGAATGCAACGGATCGACCACCACCTCCATCAGCGCCATATACCTCTGTTTTCACGTTGCCGTCTCAATTACTCATAGTTCATTGTTGAAGGGTCCACGCTTTGTTACTAATAATGCTTCTTACGTTCGGCGATGCCTATCGACAAATAATGGATCGTAGAAACAAGAGAATCATTAATCCCAATTAAGATTTTAATTTCCTGTTTTTCTTTTTAAATTTAACTAGAAATTTACTAGTAAAAATACACCCAAAAGTTATCGATAATTATAATCTCACGATACTTTTCACAACAATTTTTATAACTTAGGGGAAGTGCACCATATTTGAGCCAAATTTTATGTGTTGAGGATAGAGTGTTTTCTAACATCCAACTCAGATGAATTACTCAGTTATTTCTATAAGTTAGTCAGTGTTTATTATTCCATTACATACATAGCCCTGTGTCAGAGTTTCTAATTTTCTTTATTAAGAGGTTAATCAAGATTAATAAAAACAGCAAGCAGAGAGGACCAAACTTAATAGACATGGCACGTGTGAATGTGCAATCTTATCGTTATCATTTGCTAAGGGGATGAAAGCAGAGTAGTGCACTAAAGAATGATCTGTTAGATCTTGATGTCAGAGTTCAATTCGTGCTTGTGAGATCGAAAGTGTCAGTTGTCAGTGGCTTGAAACATCAACTTCGGTTACACCAAACATGCAGTATAGGGTGGGGACCCATTAATGGGGATGTTTGGCAAGTTTAGCCAACATCTTTCACTGTTTGATCCCTATAACCCACCGAAGAAAATTTCAGTAGAGAAATTTAAATGGGACACGGCTTCTAGTTTTAGGTTGCATTAACTAATGAGAGTTAGATGGGTATGAGTTTAGCTTGTTCTCCAATTCCATTCGAAATCCTCCACCAAACGTGTTTAGTTTATAAATGTTTTTAAGGCAGTACTAATTAAATACTAAGTTACTGTTTTGGAATGTTTATCCTTAAGAGGAGTCATCACCTTTACTTGTCATAAGATTGGACAAAAAGTCCCTAATCCAAATTATAGACATATGTTGTTTGCCATTTTTATTTTATGTCATCACCTAATACACACTTATATGTTAAATTAGTTATGGGTTGCTTTTTTGTGTAATTTTTATATCTTTTTGGTACTTCTTTATAGCAGTTAATTAGTAACTTATATTGACTTATTTGCAACTTGCTGTTCTGAACTGTTAATTTTTTTAATGATATTTTTAAATAATTATTTGGAAGTCAAGTTAGGCTAACATATATTGTAAAAATTAATATAAAAAAGTATTAAGAACTGTAACTCTGCGTAAAATAATGCTAGTGTGCAATTAGCATTTTCTGTAATTGCATATGTGCAAGTGACATTCCTCCAATTTAAAATAGAATTTTGCTATAGGAATATGATAAAATTGACATTATAAATCTTATTGTATATAATTTTTTTACAGATATCTAAACATATATATTCTAAAATCAAAAGAGGTAATTTTTTGTTTTCAAAATTTGATGGTCAAATAATATTTTTCAGGAAATTAAGCACCGGTTGGTTTAGCTATTGCAATCCAACAACCCTTTTTAACGATTTTGTTGGCTTAACCTCATTAGTTTTTATTGAGAAGACATCACTAATATTGGGTGTTAGGGGTGATTGAAATTGAGGCACCTATGTTCAAGGGTGTAATTATTTAGGGCGTTGTATGATTTGCATCAAACTGCATATTGGCTTGTCTTCATTTGGTGGAAATAATAAGACATAACAGCTTCCTCCTATAGAACAAAGAATCAAAGGCTTAGCAAAAAGATGAAAAAACATTGCACCAATGCTCTTATTTTCTCTTCTTGAATGATTTGCTTGAAAGATGTATGTGCGATGTGTCACATTGTTGGTAGTAACAGATGACCTTGGAATGGATAGCATCACAAAAATTCTTAGACCTATATATCTTATTAGTATGAGCTGTTCTTAAATCACAAAAACAGTTAATACATTGAGATAATTATGTTAAAATTCTGAGCTAAGTTTTATATCTGCACCGCAAGACCCACGAGATTGGAGACTCTTAAAGCTCACGTCTACTCACTCTTTTAGGTTTTTATATTAAGATTTTAGAACTAATAATAAAGATGCTAAAATGATCACAAATTCTATGATAAAAGAATAATTGATTTTGTAAAGTTAATGTGAAGTAATTACTTTATTATCTTTTATTAAGATATTTTACATTGATTAGAAACAGAAGCAGACTACATAAAATTTAGATAATTCTAACTTTTTGAATTAATATTTAAAAGTGAATTATATTTAATTTTTTAATATTTTTATAAGAAGAACTTAGACAAATAGTCTGTATTTCCTCCCCCCACCCCCTCTTTTCCCTTTACCCTTTTCTTTCCTGTCATGAGTGTAGTTAAAATGTCTCAAAAATAGTAAAAGAAAAGTGAAATGACCCAAAAGTTTGTGAACCACAGTATTGGAAAGAAATAGATTGTAAAGTTAGATCAAAAGGTAAAGTAGCACCAATGGTATATATAATAGCCTAAAAGGCAAAAAGTAATTGTGAATCTCAAATTCTCAATTACCTTGGATTGGGATTGAAGAATGCGCACAGAATTACATGGGCCAGGGCCTAGGAAGATGCAAGAAGGTTTCAATGTATCTTCATAGAAGTTGGAGTTATTAGTGAAATCAGCTAGGTTATTCAGTATGTGCTATTCCAGGTGTTTATACTCTCAAGACAAAATGATGTATGTATACTTTTTTATTAAAAAAATTATATAAATAGTGGTCAAGATGCATTTGATGGATATTAATTTGGGATATTTAAAAGATTAATTTGGAGAAGTTTGAAAGTAGTAAGTTACTAATTTTTTCATAAATACTTTTAATAATTATTCAAAAAATATAAATAAGTTTAATTTGATTATTTTATTAATAATATAAAAAATTAGTTATTTTAGTTAAAATCATTTGAATAAGTTTAGTTATTTTATATCTTACAATTATATTAAATTTATTTAATTAGTTAAATTAAAATTAATTTGGTTTGATGAAAATATTAAATAAATTTTTATTATATTGTTACTTAGGGAATATTGTTAAATAATAAATTGAATAAAAGTGAAATATTACTTAGTGGTATTTAATAAATTAGAATAGGTTAGATTATTCATCAAATTTTTATTATATTATTTAAATAAATTGGAAATGATGGATAATATTATGTTAGACTTTTTCTTTTAATAAATGCAAGGTGAAATTCTTTTTTGAAATATAAGTACACACTACAAATATATTAATTGAGAATACCTTGATCGAAAAATATAAGGAGAAGATTTAAATGAGTCAAATTCATGAGTTTAATAAAATTATTATATGTTAGTTTGTTATTTAACCATAAAGAAGAAGTTAAAAATATATTAAAACATCATACTTAGAAAATACATTAAAGTTCTTTTGTGATTGAGTTAAAATAAATAAAGTTGCATATGAAGTATTTAAACCATAATAATAGTTGTCCATGAAAAATAAGAGTGTCTTTGTTTAAAAATTCAAATAAGTAAAATATAATAAGGTAGAATGGTATACATTCACGTTTCAATCTTATAATATCTCAAGAACATTAAAAAATATATTCAAATTCTATTTGCTCTTTGGTAAGTACACATATAAATGCAGTGTTTTTATTTAAAATATTGGTTTGACAAATTTTTATACATTGATTTGTTGTATTTAGTGTAGGCATAATGAATCAAGAATTATATGTGCCTATAAATTTAATTTAGAAGAGAATTGACCGTTAAATTTAAATATAAAATATTCACTCATATTACATTATTATAATTTTTAATAATATTAATAAGGATTTTGTTAACTTTAGCCTTTAGGGCCAAAGATAAATAACTAAAGTAAAATTTTATTAGAAGAAAAGTATTTATTATATTTTTATAATTTTAATATAATAACCGTATATTTTTTTATAAATTTTTTTGTTTATAAATATTTAAACTTAACCTTAAATACTAAGATTAACAAAACTCTATTAATAATATTAACTTCTTTGAAAACACAAAAAAGTTAGAAGAGGGAAAGCTACAAGGAGGTGCTGCAGGAGGAATGGCAATAGCAACACAGTGGCTGCAGTGACAATGGTTTAGAGAAGTAGCAGTAACAATAATGCAAGATGGCAACAACAACAATAGCAGTGATGGAAAAACAAAGGTGTAATGAGAGAGAAGCAGAAAATAGAGATGAAAATGAAGAAGGGGAAGGGAGAAGCAGAAGAAGACACCGGACGTGGTTACTGTTGGCCGATTTTACATGTGGCCTAATTAGAGCAAGTTTCATCTTTTGACAGATAAAACTAAATGTCCACTCGTTTCTAGCTATCCAAATTTAATTTTTTTAACAACTACTTTGTCTTTGCTACAAATAAAATTGGCTATAATTTAGATGTGTCAAAATTTTGAAGTTTCGTATTTCCTGAGACGAAACTCTATTTTAAAAAAAATTGTCCCTTTCACAGAAGAAACTTGTGATAACATAACAAAAAATTCTATGCAAAACATTTATTTAAAATAATAATAATTTAATAATTTATTTTTAAAAAATATTAAAAAATAAAAAATCTGCTTCTCCAAATGGTAAAATCCAAAAAACGGAGACTTTAAAACGTGAAGTAAATAAAAAGTTATTAATCTCAACTCTTATAATTAATATAAAAAATTTAAAATGATAAATTTTTACTAAAAATGTTTATTATCTGAAAAATATAAAAAACTAATAAATATTATATTTTAAAAAAATTATTATTTATAAATATTTAAATTTTATTTTAAGACGTCAAATTAACAAAATCGTATAAAAACTCACGTTAAAGTTTATATGATAAATTTTGAGATTACTCAAACTCAAATCAGACAACAATGTTGTGACAACATTATTATTAAACAGTATATATCATTCTAAAAAAATTAAATACATCATTGTATATCCCTCGTTCTCAGCACATGCATGGTAGGCAAATTTCTCACTAAAGTTATGTTGAAATTCCATTATAAGGGCTACAAATTTTATATTTCGTTTTCAATTTTAAAAAATAATTAAAATATATAAACTCTTGACAATGTTGTGAAAAATGAATAAGAAATTTAACCAATAAAATTTTTAGATCAGAATTTTTTTTATATAAATTAAATTTGTAATTAAATTATAATCAAACTAGATAACCAGAAACATAATCACTTACTGTTTGACTAATTCAATTGGTTTGTTCACATTTCTGCATCAGTGGTACACCGCAATAACGAATAAGTTCTAGTCAATAATTAGTCATTATAAATAATTTCATTACTTTAATTTGAGGTTTTGTTTTAAAAATGACGCATTGAAATATTTTTATAGGTCTTGCAAAAAGTGAATCAAACATGATAATCATGAAGAACCAAGTGCTTAAATTACAAGATTTTTCGGTTTTGCAAATTTAGGAATTGGTGAGTTATCCGCAAAAGCTTGTGCTTACACAGAATTGTAGATGCTTAATTGCAGTGGGAATCTTGAGCAGTCGATGACAAGTGCATGAACCCAAAGAAGAAACCAAAACCAAAACTAATTAATAGAATTGTTTGAAATGTTCAACTAATTTGGAATCATGTATTGGTAGCTATAACCACTGTCACACGTCAAATAATATTTTAGGAACAAGAAACTAACCACAGGGCCTTTTCCACCGACACAATAAGATTCAGTAAGACTAAGAGTACCTTACCTAATTCACCTTTAATTTCGTTGACGCTATGATTTTTAACCCAGTGTGTTTTACATAATATTTGAAATTATGTTAGAGTTTATGTTTTACATTTTAATTAATAAATTCACTATTTGAACGTAGATGATTGGTTCAGAATGAAAATGAAAGTATTAGTAATTTTCTATTGTTGTAGCAGCCAACAAAATGAGGCTATGTGACAGAATATGGTGTTTCGGTTATGGGCCACGCGTCTAATCATTCATTCTCATAGGTTATTTTTTCTCCAGCTGTTCTTCAATTTTCTTCTTGCGTATGGAATAGGTTTTGGTGATTTGAATAACACTTCTGAAGTCAGCAAATTGGACACTAGCTTCACTTGCAATCTTGTCCACATGCTCCTCTATGATTCCATTCTTCCACTCCTCAAAACACCCTTGTTTGGTTTAAAATATTATTAATAATATCATATGTGGAATATTTTTAGAAAATTAAAATAACTGTGTTTGTATTTTGTAGCTTCGTTCATAAAATGAAGTTAGACTGAAAGATTTATGACTAGGTCAATCCGAAGAAAGCATATTAATTTTTTTGTGATTAATATATTTTTTTAAAAACATAGAGAGAGAACTGGAATCATAAATTAATCATTTTTTAAAAATAGTTTTGATATTTTTTTTGAAAAAATTGACTAATTAAAAGAAAGTGTACACGAGTATTATTACTAATATTTTTAATGGTATTCATCTGGAGACAAATTGGCTTAACAAGTGACTAATGAACATCATAGCTTAAGAGTGCATCGGGTAGCTAACAAAATAACATGATCTTGGTTACAGGGAGAGAGCCCAAGATTCAATAGAAAAATCAAAGCACATACCTTATAAATTATCTCAAAAAGGATAAAAAGGGAAAGCATCCCTTTTCACTAGGAGAAGTATAGCAAACAAACGCAATCAAAATCAGTAATTACTGTCATTTGAGGTCATCGAGATTTGATGTATTCTCCGAAAGAAGACGCAAATTACTTTCTGGAGGCATAATGGCTGCAATGTTTGCAAAAGATATTAATCATTCAGGGTTAATTCAACTTAACGATTAAGGATGCTGCTTTGCTTGCAAGCATTTTATGCTGCATAAAGTTACTTTTGTTGATTGATAGAAAGATGTACACTTCATAATTTCATACTCTATCCATTATTACTCGCTCAGCAATATGCTAACTCGGGTATTACCCCCGTGTTACTATGTATTATTTGCATCAAAATTTTAAGGATAGAAAAGGGAGCGTGAGCATTTATACTAACTTGGTAATCTTTTTGGGATTGTACTTCAAAATTTAAAATTACATCTATGTTCCTCAAATTAAGAACAAATTCAAGATAGTTTTTTTGGAGGCTCCTTCGTTTCCAGTGGTTCTTTATTTAATTTCTTTTCTTTGGGTTTTGGTCCTGTTGATCCCCCCATAACAAAATTGGGTGTGCCCCATCACTGAAATTATATTAGATCAAAACTTGGAATTAGATGAAATGGTTGAGTGGATTAGTATTTATTATTCAAGGTAAGCCTCGGAATTGAAGTTCATAAATGCAAAGAAATGATTTTAGGATCGTTTCAACTAGCTCAAAAAGGTTTGATTTAAGCATGGATAGTGAACATAAGGTTTTGATTGCTAGAAATTTTATCCCCTAGTCAATGGTCAGGTAGGCATGGTCAAAATATCTTAATTGTACTTCTAATTTCGACGAAAATTTAATTCCACATACATTATTCATACTAGAAGGAGGATAGCAGAAGCCATATGTAGTAAGAGCCTTTTTCCTATCATGTGCAATCATTATTATTATTATTCCTTGCCAACAAAACAATACAAGTTTTTCTTATCCTAATTTTAATTTTTAATAGCCCAAATGAAGGCTTTTTCCATTCCGCAATCCTCAGTTTTCACCAACTCCTCCAAATTGGTTTTTCCTCTATCCAATGAAACGAAATAAACTTTATTAACCAAACCAAACTTCACTTAAGGAGTCTCATTACCATAACAAAATTTCTAATTGCTCTAAAACCCAACTTTGACTTCTCCTAGCTCATAATCACACCCAAGTCGCTATAACTTTACTTTCAATCTTTAGCGTTTTTTTCAATTGTTGAAATATGACAAAACACACGTAGCCATCTAATAAGACCACCCACACATTTCTTCCAACTCACTCGTTCCCTCACCTCGATTCATTCACTCACACCCACTTGGTTCCTTCTTCTCCACCCTTAATTATATTTTTTTTCTTCTTTAGGCTTCCCAATTTTTTTTTCCTTGCATCCAAACATGTCCTCCACTCACCCAAACCCAGCAACATCCACTTTCTTATTACTCTCAATAATACTCCTCTGTTTCCCGGGCAGAACAAAACCCGACAACCCCTGCCCGTACCCATGTTACCCGCCACCCACGGGCAGTGGCATTCCGACAACTCCATCGGGTTCCACAGCGCCACCAGCACCACCACAACAAGTATTCACATACCCTCCTCCACCTTCTGGCTACTACCCCTTTAACCCAACACCACCTTATGGTGGCGGCGGCGGCGGCGGCGGTAGCGGTGGCGGTTTTGGCTCACCACCACCACCGGATCCTATTCTACCATATTTTCCATTCTACTACAGAAAGCCTCCTCATAAGACAGATGATAATTCAGCATCAAGCACTTTGCAGAAATACACAGGAATGATTGCTACTACTAGTTTATTGTCTTGTCTTCTTCTTGTTGTTGTATAACTCTCCCAGAATCTTCATGTAGTGAAACTGTTCTTTCAAATGAAAATTAGTGCATGTTAATTTAATATTAATTTATTTGACTTTGTGTTGGGTTTGAGATATTATTATAATATCTATTGTCGTGGCTGCGAATTTTGTATGTGCATGTAGTTCTTCGGGGGAAGGGGAAAAGCAGAGGAGATACGAAGCAGAGATTATGATTACTAGGATTTTGGACTTGAAGAGATTGTAAAGAGAGAAATAAAAACCAAAAATGGAGCTAGAAGATTTTTCTTGGGGTTCGATGATTTAATTAATTAAATTGTTGTTAATATGAGGGGTTTTTTTGGGTCTTAATGCCATAATTATTAGGATAGTGTCAATACTGTAAGCGTCCCCTGCTTTTTGTAGGGTTGCATGTTGTCCTCCTTTCGTTCTATTTTCCTTGTTCTTAGTTTTATATCAAAAGTTCTTTTTATTTACTTCAGGAGTCGAAAAAGAAGTAGAAAGAGAAGAGAAAGAATAATAGATGTTGTACGTGATGTACTACTGTAAAAGATAGACATACAAAACAGAGTACGAAGTGTGATTTCTTTTATATCAAAAGATCAAGGATACTGTTTGTTGCAAGCACGTTTGGTCTAAGCTTGAGGCTTGAAGTCTCCTAAAAATGAAAGATAAATAAAATCTCTACAAATATATTAATTATTTGTTATTTAAAATAAATATTATTAATTAGTTTATTATAAATAAGTATTTAAAAATTTGTAATTTTTTAAATATTTATGATATCTCTCAAAATAAGACTTTTTATCAAAGAAAATAAGTAAATCTTATAATATTCTATACCTTTATATGGGACAAAAACCTAACTAAGAAAAAATAATATAATATTTTAAAATATATTATCACAACTATCTTACTAAAGTTACCTACAAGCTTTGTAAAAGTCATAGTAGGAAGAGTTCTAGTAAATAAATCTATCAAATTATCACTTGAAAAAAATTGTTACATGTAATAACAAATCAAGTATGTTTTGAATTATAAATCTTAGTCAAATACACTTTTTATTTGCTTCATGCAACACTCATATTTTGTATGTTCGTGACTATTGATCTCATGGATTGCCATAAAATGGCTATGTCATATTTGTTGACATGTCCATCAAACAAGTTTGACAAATATCATATATCTTCCTGTTAGATTTAAGCTATATATATATATATATATATATATATATATATTTAAGTCTTTTTATATTTACACCAAATCTTAACCGTACAAATCAAATTAATTATCTAACGATTAAAAAGTTACATATTGTTTGACCAAAGTAATAAAGTACAAGTGCGTATAAATAGATAATTTTTTAACTATTGGATTATTGATTTGTACGTTTAGGATTTGGTGTAAGTCTGATGTCAATAGATCCTATATATATATATATATATATATATATATATATATATATAAATTATATATATCTAATTCGATTAAGATATATTAGTATATTAGATATTCTATATTAGAAAAGTATAATATTTACATGTGATAAAAATATGCTATATAGAACTACAACATATTCTCGTTTCATTCATTCACATTCAGTTTAACGATTGACCAAAAGATAATTCAAAAAAGAATTACATTTTTATCACTCAAATTCCAATATTTCTCTGTAATATATATATATATATATATATATATATATATATATATTGATAGGCAAAACATATATTATTAGAGAGAGTTTAAGGGAAACTCAAAACTCATATACACATAAGAAAAAACTAATATTTACTCAAAAAAATAAAAATAAAAACATATTTATACATAGTTAAGATGGATGCAATTTCGTGAGTTCAAATACCAATTAACTAACAAAATAGCTTCTCCCTTACTAACAAATGATAGTCATTTCTAAGATTTCAAAATAATAGAATCTAAGATTTTCCTTTCATCCAAAACACCATTGAAAAACACAATTCTATTTCTATGTAATCACAAAGACCACATTATACTTACCCAAACAATTAATAAACATATTCCTTCTCTTTTACTACAACCAACACAATCCAAGAAAGTAAGTGAGTCGATAAATTTGAAGGCAAAACCAGTGAGAATCCAAGCCAACACGCAGTAAAATACTAGATTTGAGATGAAACTGAGCACATTAAAAACAAATGAGTTGGAAGTTTCTTCAAACCATGACAGAAGCAATAAGTTATATCATCAATTTGAACACCACGATCAATCAGCAAACCTTTACAAGAAAGTTCATTCAATAACAATTGTCAAGAAAATACAAGACACTTAAGAAGGACCTTCCCTCTCCATAGCATTTGTAAGGCGTCAGTCGTACATTGATCTACACTATTAGGATCACCAAAAAGTTTAAATAGTCATGAATACACAGATTGCACTGAATAACAATCTGAAGAATCTGCCTTCCATACTCATTTATCTTCTTGTAGTACCTTAATAGAAACTCCAACAAAAGATTAAAGTTTGAGATCTTATGTTAAAAGAGTCCTCTTCGCCAACTAACATCTCAAATCCACCTAGTGTCATCATGAAAATCATTCTCTAATACACAAGATTCAACATTCCTCACCATCGTAAATAATCGTAGAAATGCCTCACACAATCGCACCCTGCCTACCCACTTATCTCTCTAAAAGAGAGTGTGCAAATCTGCACCCACGGTCCTATCCAACTTCTCATTCAGCCATGAATTTTCTTGATGAATAACCTCCAGCAAATCACGCCACCACAAAGAACATCTCATCAAGTAAGTAAACATAATTAAGATATGTTAAAATCTAAAATAATACATGTGTAAAATGAAAATAAATATCAATATAAATAAGAAGTTTATAAATTTTTCTATTTTGCATGATTGGTTAAGATATTCTAAATCAATCATGATACACAAAATAATAAAGAATTTATGTCAACAACCATTGAAAAGCAAAAAATTCTTCAATATAACAAATTCATGTTTAGCTTGTTTCAAAAGAAAGTTAATCATTCAATCATAATCACCAAAAGAAAGTTTGTAGGTAAAGATACAGATTGTTTGTGGGACTTTTAAGGAAGAAGCGAGATAAGTTAGGATATGTGTAATAGAGTATTGCAACTGGGCAGTCGCAACGATACAATAAAAACAAGTTAAGAAAAACATATTTTAAGAATAAAAAAAGTTATCTAAAAAATCAAAGAAGTCGTCACCAAAATTTATCTAAGAAAATCTTGAAAAAACTTTTAAAATAATATGATCTTTGAAACTAAAAATGAGTTCAGAAGTCATTTATGTATATGGAAGGTATTAGTACCCTACAACATCCGTTTAAAAATAACGGTTACCTTAAATTAATTGTGCAAATTTATTTTAATTTAAAAAATATTTATTTAACCTCTAAACAATAATTATTATTATTTTCATTTTTAAAGAAAGAATATTTATTTATTAAAATATTAATGGATATCTTAGGAGAGAGAAAATTATTTTTTAAAAATTATTTTGACTTGACGGGTCTGATTCCAATTCTTACGTATCCTTAAGTGCAATGGAGAATTCAAAGCCACGTAGTTCTATCATAAAAATTTTGAAGTTGATTGATTAAAATTTAATTTAGTAAAAAAAATTTATTTTGAAACTAAAATTATTTTTATAAGATTATAATATTTATGATACAAGATAACGTGATTATACATGTATCCACAAGAAACAGTATGGAAGGTGAAGGAAGATCACACAACAATATTGTAAATTATTAAAAAAAATTATTTGTAAATGAAATATTTGAATTTATATTTAATTTATTGTTAATGTTGCAAGAGAATTTAAGATAGCATAAACTATACATAGTTTTCTTATAATTTTGGACAATCGAAAGTAATGTAAATTATACATCGATATTACAAAAAATTATGTAATAAAATGAAGAAATGATTGATTATTTAATTTATGAAAATTTGAAATATGACTTAAGAAAAATTAAAATATGAAATTAATTTTATTTAATAAAAGGAATAAATATATTTAAATTGATTAAAGAAAATAGTTACTTAATAAAAGATTATAACTTCATTTGATAAATTTATATTGCATAGGACTATATACACAAAAGTTTTAACGATTTAAAATGTATAAAGGTAGAGATGCTGCACAATAACACTATAAATCGCCATATTAATATGATGAAAATATTCTAGATAATAGATTTTAATAAAATAAAAAATAATTGATTAATTTATAAATCAATTTTTTTAATATATTAATGATATATAAAATTTAAGGTAACGTTGATACACATATATTTTATCAATTTATATCAGATGACGATAAAGAAATTACACATTAATGTTATAAATTAATGCAAACATGTATTATTTATTCATTTATCATAAAAATTAAAAATATAAATTTATATCCATAAAACAATAAAAAGAAAAATAATGCTAAAGAACAAATAACTCAAAAATAAATAAGTGAAATAGATACAAGCAAAAATCCAAGAATTATTGTGAAAGTTTTTTTATACATTGATATTATTCTACTTATCTTCCATTGCCTTTAGTGAAAAGGAATAAATTTTATGAATGAAAATAGAGGTCAAATGTAATATAGGAAAAAATAAAATAAAATAAGGTAAAGTAAAATAAATTTAAAGACATAAACAAAAGATAAAAAAAATGAAGTATATTCAATAAAATAGGTTAAAGATAGTTACAAATAAATAAATAAATTCTCCTAAATGGGCTATCTGAGCCCAAAAATATAAAGAAAAAGAATTAAAAAAAAAGAAATGGAGCTAAATCAATGCTGTAATGTTTCATAAAAGATGATTGCATATTGCTATCATGTTTCACCCTTTTCAATGTGCAGTGCATCTTTAATCAAATCACTCCTTATTTTAATAATAAAATAATAATAATATATTATTAATTAAAAAAAACTTAACAAAATGACAAAGTGACTATAAACTTTCACCTTCTTATCATTTGGTTCCTATCTTGCTCCATTCATTCGCAAAAACTCATAATATGGTTCAAAATGTGAGTTCATGAGGAAGGAAAGAAATATACCGCAACATACGAGTTTTAGATTTGAACGACAAATGAAGATAATGAGGTAGATGAAATAGTGTAGTTTCTTCCTCTTCTTTTGGCTTCTTATTTGCTTGCCTACTTTATTTTTGCTTGTTCTTTCCTCTAGTTGTACTCACTTCCATTTTTTGTTCTTCTTTCTTAGTATTCTCCCTTTCCAAAACACTTGTTCCTTATTTCATATCCTTTCTTCTCAGATCTTTCTATCTAAAATGATTTTTCTTGCTTCCTAGAACTTTTTTCTTCCCTCTCTAAAAACTTATTGTCTCCTCTTCGAAGATATTTTTCTTTCTTATAGAGAAAAATAAACCCCATCTACAAATTTTTGCTCCTTAAAAGCTTCTTGCCTCCCCCTACTCAGATTTCTTGCTTATGTTTTTATAATGGTCTTCAATCTCATGTTTTAGGGTTTCATAAAATGTCAAATGTCTGATTTTTTTCTCTTTTCGTGCATAAAGTCAGTTTTGATATTAGGTATAAGCCTGCATGGACTTCCGTTTTCACGAACCA